AATTGTTGTTATTGCTACTTTAACTGGGAATGGAGAAAGTTCTATTAAGTTCTATTTTTAATAGTGGTGAGTAAGCCATTTCCTCCTATTGAAGTTGGGTCAAAAATTTAAAATTGTTAGAATCCATCAGAAGGTTAAAAAAGTAGTGAGAAATCCCTGTACCAGGAGAGTAAGGGCCCACAAGGTGAGGCAAGGCAAAATTCAAAGGCAGTTCCAAAACCTGTCTCCTCCTTCTCCAAGTTCTTCCAACATCAACACAGGTGCCTCCATGAACTGATTCTGCAAATTAAGGCCTCAAATCAGTCAACCTTAAAATAAGTGAGGCGTCCTTGGTGGGCCTGACCTAATCAGGTGAGACCTTAAAAGCAAAAAGGTCCCTCCTGGCAAGGAGATTCCAAGTGGTAGAGAATAGCACACACCCTGGACAGCTCCCCGCAAAGGAAGCCAAGGCTGTTGCTATTTGAAAATCAAGAAATGCACATTTAAAGAAAAAATTCACAACATAAATTAGAAAATACACTGAACTCCATGAGAGTGAAAATACCACCCATTAAAACTTGTGAGATCACAACAAAAGCCTTCCTGATTGAGATATGCAGTTTTAGGAAGAGACATTAGGGGTTCTCTAATGTGGCTCGGTGGTGTGGCATTTGCCTAGCATGTGCAAGGGCCTGGTGAAAAAAAATAGTAAGCTTTAAAATAAATTAATTTTGTATCAATAAAAATGCAAAAAACACCATAGGTTATTGTGAACAAATTTATGCCAACACATGTGAGGCCAGAGGTCTCGGGTCCCCCCCATCATCCACAATCCATCACCTCAGTTCCTCCTCTGTGCCCCTTTCTGAGCGTGACACTCCTGGCACGACCACTGCCAGGCCCCCGTTCAAGTTGCTTCAATTCGTCAGTCAGGGCTGTGTTTACCAGGACCCCACCCCAGGACAAACTGATGCAAACAGCCTGGGGGGGGGGGGAGGCTTATCCTGGCTCGTGGTTTCAGAGGTGTCGTCCGTGTCCCCTGGCTCTGTCATTTCAGGCCTGTGGTGAGGCCGAGCATCCCGGCAGGAGCACAGAGTGCCCGCTCAGCAGGAGGGAAGATGGCCTGAAGTAACCCTTTCAAGGGCAGCCCCCCAGCAGCTCTCCTCAGCCACCCCCACCTCCTGAGGTCCCCCCATCACTCATTATGCTGAGGCCCCATAATCGGATTAACCCACTCATGAGATCTGAGCCGTCACAATCCAGTCACCTCCCAAGGCCTTCAGCACCTGAGCTTTGGGGGACATTTCAGACCGAAAACATTACAAGCCCAGATTCACAAGAAACTATTGTAGCCAGATGTGGTGGGGCACACCTGCAACCCCAGCACTCAGGAGGCTGAGGCAGGAGGATCTCCGCAAATTCCAGGCCAGCCTCAGCGACATAATGAGTTCAAAGCCAGCTTGCACTGCATGGCGAGACCTTATCTCAAAAACAACAAAAACCAATTACAAATGTCCAGGAGAGTCTGTCATCCACTGTGGCTAGAAGAAATGTTGCCAGACTGACAGGCCCACCTGGCTTAACCTCCACTTTTGTGACAGGGAACAGTCAGATGAAGGGGACTGAACCAACACCCAGAAGTGGTCACCTCCTCCAGTCTGTCTCTGTCCCTCTCCAAGGGTGGAGTCCAGAAGTGAAATCTAAATGCAGGGTCCTGGCAGACTTCAAAGAGGAGACAGTGTCCTCCACTGCACTGGCCTGCCCCTCACCTGTGACCATGCTGAGCATGGTACTGAATTCTTTCCTGACTGCTGAGTCAACAAGTGACCACTGGCTTAAAACATTAGGAGATGCACCCTCTTACGGTTCCGGGGGTCAGAGGGCCAAAGCCAGCCCAGTGGTATCATGGGCCAGTACAGCAGCGGGGCGGGCTTCCGGGGAGATGAGCAGCGCCCTCCCCTGTTCCACTCTGCGGAGGCAGCACAGGGCAGGGCATCGCCTGGCCAGGCAGGGAAGCCCGCACAGGAGCTCCAGCGAGCTGGCCCTCAGAGTCAGCCCTCAGAGTGCTCCATCCTTGGGCACTGCTCCCCTGAGCGGTCCCCTCCCGGCCACTACAGGTTCTGGCGTGGAAGCACCTGAAGCTTGGGGACCACGCTCCACCCACAGCACCAATGGAGGAAGGCAGGAGGGGGCCACGTAGTCTAACCATCACCACTCGAGGGAGGACCCTGAGGTCACCGCTGTCTGCTGACCGCACCTCCAGGTACCAAGGCAGTGGGTTCCCGGGTCGGGCTCTGGCTGCATTGCTGTGCGACTCTGGGACAGTACTCAGGCTCTCTGAGCTCGGTCTCCCTTTCTGTGAAACAGGGACTGCGGTGCTACCGCTCCCGGTCCGCAGAGTCGGTGCTGTGCCCTGCAGAGAGCTTGGTGCAGGGCGCCAGTCAGGACGATCACCAAGGCCCGCTTAGCTCCCGTGGCCACCTCTGCTCCCCAAGGCCCATGGAGAGCCCGGCCCGGCTGGCTGGGCACCCTGGGAACAGAGGGCTCTGGCCTCAGCCAGGACTGGGATGGGTGCTCCCCCCGAGGAAGGGACTCGGGTCCCCCAGGTGACACGCAAGGTGCGTGTGCAGGGCCTCTGACCTTTGATGCTACAGGTGGGGACACAGGAGTAGCTGGGGGAGCTCAGGGTTGCAGTGGGAAGGTCAGTGTCTGCCTCTCCAGTGTGTGTGTGGGCACAGGGGTCCAACAGGGGCTGGCTGACTGGGGGGGGGCTGATCCAGGGGCCGAGCCTGCAGGGCCTCCAAGCCGGGATCTTAGTGGCTTTGTGCACTGAAGCCAAATACGGCAAGCAGGTACTGGGGCTCAGGGGGGTGTGTGGGCGGGGAGGCCCATGTCCAGGTGCTACACCAGGCACACTGTCACCGTGGCGAGCTCCAGAGGGCCCGGCCACACACTACGGAGCGGCACAGCCTGCACAGCCCCCGGGAAGCGCGGGCCCAGGGACACAGAGGCTGCAGGCCCTGGGGCTTCGGGCTGCGTGGCAGCAGACACGGTTCCCGGTGAGACTGCAAGTGGTGTCACCCAGCGCCCTCCTGCTTCTGTGCATTATTAAATTATTCCTGGGAAAGGGAAGGTGAAGTATGAATAATTCAGACAGGAGATAAACGCAAATCTCATCAACCCAGCTGCTCGCGTGACCTCTGACGTGATGTCCTGAGGGGACAGCGAGGAGCCCCGAAGGCGAACTCAGGCCCGGGTCTGCGCTCAGCACCCGGGGGTGGGCCCGCCTGAAGTCCCAGCCCCTCGCTGCCCAGCCTCGGGGCCTTGTGGGGCCTCGTGGGGCCTCAGCAGATCCCTTAGCGGAGGGGCCTTGGGAAGGTGACTAATCCCCCCCCCATTCCTTGCCCGTGAAATGAAAATAAAAACGCAGCCTGTGCTAGAAAGCCGTCCTGTGCATGCAGTGAAGCAGCCTATGCTACGCCCCAGGGGCGGGGAGGCCCAGAGCCCAGGGTCAGCCTGGCACAAGCAGCCTATGCTACGCCCCAGGGACGGGGAGGCCCAGGGCCCAGGGTCAGCCTGGCACTGAGTCCTGCAGCTGCGCTTTCCTGCGCATGCAGACCTGAGGTAAACCTCACTGGAGGGAGACGCTGTTAGCCTCGCTGGAAATCTCCCATCGATGCTGTGGCTGCCCTGTGCTCCCAGTCAGGTGGACACGAGCAGCAATTGTGCAGCAATCAGTCCGACAGTCAGAAGCACTCCTGCGAGCGTAGTGGGCAGGAACCTCACATGACACGAAGGCAGACAGTGCACCAGCCTTCACACTCTCAACCCACCACACAACTTCAAGCTGATGAATTATTCCTGGAATTTTCCTTTATTTATTTTGTTTAAGCCACAGTTGACCATAGAGATCGAAATTATGAAAGGTAAAGCCTCCAGTGAGCAGGGACCCCTGCGAGGCTGCACACACAGGCACAGCTTGCCTGTAGGATGCACACGGGCCTCTCCCGTCCTCGGGGATTGAGGACATGCCTCTCACATCAGCTTGATGTTTGAATTTTATTGCATGAAGCCACACACGTGATGGAGGAAATGTGTCTTTCTTGTTCAGTGACCCAGTGGACAGGTTTAACACCCTCTCCACGGCGTCCTCATAGTCCTGGGATTCCCGTGGGGTGGATGATGGAGGAATCAGGCATCTGAGGTGGACTTGGTGGCAGTGGCTGGACCCTGCCTACCGGAACAGCACCCCAAGCCCTGCTTAGTCTCTCCTGGGTCGGCCACAACATCCACTGAAGTGCGTTTTTCCCAAGGGCTGCCACCATGGGCCAGGTGGCACCACCACCCATGCACAGGGCCTGTCCTGTGCAGGACCCTGGTCCCTGCTGATCCCATTCACTTCCCTCCCTGGAGCACCAGGAATTTAGGCTGCCTCTGAGCTCAACCTGGGCACCCACGTTCAGGGAGTCCCCAGAGACGCTGCCAGGGCTCCAGGAGGCCAGCCCTGAGATGGGACACTCAGGCAGCCAGTGTTACACCCAAGGACACCATATTCCACCTCTGTTAGAGCCTGGCACAGACCCTGGGGGCAAGCCAGAGCCTCCGGCAAGCTGCCCCGTCCCTCATTTGGATTTTCCTGGTTCTGTGGCAGGAGAGAAGCTTCCAGCATACTCCAGATCAGGCCCATGTGTAGACTGAGGGACGCGGAAGGGGCTGCTGCAGAGCCGTGAAGAACCCCTTGGCTCTTCGTCATTTGGGGGGTTGCTATAAGAAAATACCTGAAACTGGTGATACGTAAAGAAAAGAGGTTGATTGGCTCGCACTTGTGACTCCCTCTGCACAGCCCTGGAGAGAGAGGGTCTTGTTGCTGCATCATGATGCGGCGGTGCCATTGCAATGAGAACACCTGTGTGAGAGAGGATGCAGAATGAGACAGGAAGCCAGGGACACAACCCCAAGAGATTCGCATTCCTGGGAGAAAAGCGTCCATCGCTCTCCAAGCCCTGCTCACCTTCACGGCTTTCACCAGCCCCTCACTGCCGCATGGAGACCCAGCTTCCAGCACGGGAGTCTGAGGGGACACCTTTGGGCCATTTGCAAGCATTGGCAGCTGCAAGGAGCCGGGCTGGCCAGGGGGAGGCCACTGTACAAGGCCCCAATTCCACACCCACCAGGGCTCCACAGGGAGCAGGACAGAGCACTGGAGATGGTGGGCCCTTCAAGGGGCTGCTTCTCTCTGGTTCCGGTCCATGATCAGGTGGGGAGGACAGGTGTCCTCACAGGCCAAAAAGCCAGGCTTCATCGTGAAGTTCACTGTTTGCCACATGGGTGAAGCAGGCAGAGCAGCCTGGCAGTGTCTGTGCTCGTGCCCTTCCTGCTGCAGGCCCTGAGCAGGGTCCAGGTGTCAGAGAAAGGGGACACAAGCCAGGGCCTGCACGTGCTCCAGCCCAGGCTGGACCTGCAGTGGGGGCGCCCAGGCTCCCTCCTCCAGGAAGCGAGCGAGGAGCCCCACATCCCCAGCACAGACGTCTGGCCCTGCACGCGGGCTCCCTCAGCAAAGGGCACCGTCCTTCTTTCTGACATTTTCCAGATAAGTGGATGTTTTTATTCTGGAATTTAGGTCTGACCTTTATCTGCTGTCTGAGAGGAAGCATCTGTCACCAATATGAAGTCTCTAAGTCCCAGCCACCACCCTGCATCCCTCATCCTGTAGGCATGAAATGAGTCCCCACAGACGTCTCTGTCTGGGGCAGGGCTGGCCAAGGGGACAGGCAGCCACCCATAGACAGCTGCACGGGGGAGCAGCCCAGGTTGGAGGGCAGACTGGACACTGGGACATGGCAGATGAGGCCCTGGATCACTGACCCGGTCCCTCCTTGCTGGACACACAGAGCTAGAGGACCTCCTGGAACGGAGGAGTACAGAGGCCCTAGGAGGAGTGGAGCTCACTAGGAACCCCTGGGGTCCCTCTGCACTGCTGCACAGCACTGGAGGAGACCCAGACGGCTCGCCAGTCAGGTCATGGTCACAGCAGCCGGAAGCCAAGCACAAGGCCAATCGGCCGCCCAGAGGCTGCATGGGAAGCTGTGATCTGTCCACGGGCACCAAGCTGATAACTTGCATCACTGCAAGATGAGGCTCCTCAGATGTGTGGACCCTTTTCTGTGGCCTCTGTTATGCAAATAGAGGTCACCCAAAATCAGCTTGGTGTGAGCCCCAAGCTGTCACCACCATTCTAGCAGCTTGGCTCCCTAAAAGGAAGACCATAGCAGTCAGCGGGAACCAACTACTCCCTGGGCCACCATCCCTGGAACCACTGGTGCTCAGAATCACCTTTGACCTGAGTCCCAGAATTCCTTTAAGTACAAGGTCAACCTCACACCCAGAGTGCAGGATCAGACAGTGCCTAGTGAAGACCACTCGGGCCCACAATCTTGGGGGTGCCCAGGCCCATCCTGGCTGTCCCCGAGACCAGAGGGGGACTTGAAAACTTTTAAGGAAGGCACTCCAAACTATGGAGTGACCTAAGGGCCCTGTCAGGGCTCCAACCACCAGGTCTAAAGCAGCAGCCCAGGCCAGGGGCCCAAGGCATCCCCACACCACCCCCAGGGGAGGGAGGATCTGGACCCAGGACGCTGGAGGAAGACAGCTCCTGGATACAGCAGCCTCCACATCCCGGGCGGGCGCTGTGCCCACTGCCTCACCGGACCAGGTTGGAGGGCTGGACCCCCTGTGCTGAGCTCCAGGTCCACATAGACTGCTTCTCTCCAGCTCTCTGCTCAGAAACACAGAAGATTTCTGTGCAAATCTGCAGACCAGACAGTCAGCCTCCATCTCTCAGTGTCAATAAACCGGGTGTCTCCAGGGCAATGGCTTTTACTCGGTAAATACTAAGCAGCAAGAGACTGCAGTCGGCTCTGGTCCCCATCTCAGAGAACTGCAGCCAGGGTTAGGGCCACTGTCGGCGATGAGAGGTCCCAGCCTGGCTTCGCCGGTGCCTGGGATGCTGCAAGAGGGCAAGGGCCTGGCCTCCTGGATGCCACCTGTGTGAGGCGCTGTCTTTACAGCTGGTGCAAAAATGCACCCCAACCCGAAGAGTAACCCAGGCCAGCCTATTCCCAGCGGGCGGGGCGCAGGGAGACTCAAGACTGGCCTGGCTAAAGGGGAGGCAGTGGTCCCAGATGGGAGTCCTGCTGGTGAGCAGCCCTAAGGGCCCGCAGCCCCGGAGGTGCCCGTCCCTGACTGGCTTCCTTCTTTCAGGACCCCCTTCCTCAAACATTCTGCTCTGATTACTGAGCTCCTCCGCCCCAGGGGTGGACTTGCTCCTCCAGCTTGGCCCATCTGTGTGTTTATCCTGTTCCAAGGTGTCTGACCCTCACTCTGCCCTGTGCACCACTGTGAGTGGCAGGGGACCCAGCTCGGCCTGCCGTGGGCCTGTGCAGAAAGAGCTGTTAGCTCCTCATCTGCTGCACCGGCTCGGGATGCTTCTGTTGGCAAAGAAAACAATGGGAGTAGTAGCATCTCCCCTAAAAATCTAGGATGCAAATTTTTCACTCAAGAACACCCACAGACACCTGGGGCGGTGGCCGGCACTGGAATTCCAGCATTCTGAGCGGCTGAGGCAGGAGGATCACAAGTTTGAGGCCAGCCTGGGCAACTGGCAACTTGGAGAGACTTCGTCCTGAAATAAAAAATATGGAAACACTGGAGATGTAGCTCAGTGAGAAGGCCCTGGGTCTCTCCCCAGTAAAACACACACAAACACACACACACTCACACACATGCACGACGCACGCACGCATGCACACACGCAGTCAAGCCTCATCGCAAGTGAAAACCCACTGTTCACTGTGTGGTCTGCATGAGAGGCTTCCATTGCTGGCCCACTGGGGAGACTTGTTCTGATGAACTAAGAATTCACTGTTGCCCACGTGACCAAGGGAGCAGCCCCTCGCCCCACTATGCTACCCGCCTTGACTGCCTTCACACAGCTGTCAATGCCAGGTGCCAGGCACCAACAACGCCCCACTCCCCGTAACGTTTACCATCTCACCACTTAGGCCCATTATACAAAAGCTTTACACCAACGTCCGAGTGTGGCTGGATGAATAAACTGAAGGAGGGATCGACAGACTAAAAAGACAGGTGGATGGTTATGTGGCAGATGAAGGCATGGACTCGTGGAAGGATGGATGGATGAATTTCTCTTAAGAGAAAGCAGGCTTTTTGTAGATAGAACCATGTGTTTCACTTCCCTGTTTTTACCTACTGTGAATTCTTCATAACAGGTTTCAAAATTATTTTTTAACTTTAACAGAATGTGCCAGACAGCGCTGACAGGGTTGCTGCCCTCTGAGCCCGCACATACCGTGTAACATTCTTAAGAAAATCTGGCAAAATCAGTGGGAGTGATTTGATAACGGCCACCCAAAAATATTATACTTGCAGACTTCTTTCTGAAACTGCTGTTGCTTGTACTCTTTAAAAATGTACTTTGATATGTAACTGATTAATTATATGTACAATGTATATATATATATACTATCTACATAAAATCTCTGAGAAATATGAAAGATGCTTAGCAGGAAAGAAAGTTTTATTTTCCTATTTAGTATGCGCCTGTCTCCCTTGCTTCCTGTGCCAAAGAGATAGCAACATAATTTAAGAAACAAGTTTTCATAAATATTTCTGTTCAATTAAAAAAATTTCCCCTCTTTTTTAACCAGCCAGCTAAATCCACACAGTGTGAGGACCGTAAGGGTCTCAACACCAAAGAAATCGCAGCTCTTAGAATGACTGTGAGCCCCAAAACAGCCCTTCGGAGTTTCTGGCCATAATCAATTGGGCCAGTTGCTTTTTGGACCACACTAAGGCAATGTTTCATGGCAGGAGCATATCACGGAACAAAACTGTCTACCTCATGACCAAGAAGCAAAAGGAAGTCATCAGTGCCACAGTCCTTCTTAAGGACACGCCCCCATAGCCTAAAGACCTTCCTCTGGGCCACCTCCTGAAGTTCTGCCATCTCCCAGGAGCTCCCACGGGGGTCCAGTCTGTTAACACAGACTTCTGGAGGACATGTGAAATCCAAACCAGAGCACAGCCTTTGGGGGAGCGACCCCCTGGGGACCTTCCTCTCAGGGCTACTTGTAGCCTGTTCCCCCTCGTGGGATGGGACAAGGAGCCCACTGGGTCAAGGGGAGGTGGCTCTTTGGAACCAACCTCACACTCTAAGGATCATGATCTGGGTGCTCAGGCCCCCCACATCCCTGACCAGACCCAAGTTCACCTCCAGGACCCTGAGCAGGCCTTTTCATGGATCTGTCCCAAAGGGTGGAGCACACCACCACTAGGTCTGAGAGGGGGACCGAGAAACAGCCAATCCCAGGCACTGATGGAGCCCAGGATGACAGAGGCCAAAAGCCTCTGCCACCACCATCCAGCACAGACTTCGGTGGAATCCCAAAATCTAAAATTTGGATAATGCCATTTTAATGGAGTAGTTTTCATGGTTGGAGTCAGCAGCATATTTACCAATTCATTAGCTTGATTTAGAACTGTTACATATTTAGATTGTCTTCAAGTTTTTGATCTCAGAACCCCACTTATACTCTGAAAATTATTGAGAACCCCAAAGAGTGCTTGTTTGTGTGGGTTACAGCTATCAATGTTCACAACATTATCATTTTAAACTGAGACATTTTAAAAATATTTGTTCATTACCTAATTTTAAAATAACACTAGGAGGCCATTGCATGCTTATATAAGTAACACATTTTTTAATAAAGGGAAAGAACTCTTTTCCAAAAAATAACAGAGGAGAAGAGTGGCATTGTTTGACAGTTTTGCAAATCTTTTTAATGCTTGAGTTAAGAGAAGACAGCGAGTTCCTATCTCCATGTCTGTCTCTGGTCTGCTGGGACTGTGGTCAGCTAAAGCAGGAGACACGGTGGACTCCTGCAGGACACAATTAGACTGAAAGGATGGTGTAGTGCCTTTCAGATAATTACCCATCTTCTTGCTGACGGAGCCACAGACCTGGAGCAGTGGTGCTTCCCGGGCCCAGGCCTGGGTCCAGCACCACGGGAGCCAGGCCCAGTGCAAACCCGAGCAGGCTCTGCCCCCGGGTGTGCAGGTGCCAGCCCCTGTTCCACCGAAGCTTCTCCCCAACACCATCCCTGCTGGTTGCAGATTTGTACACGGCTCCTTGAAACTTCGAGTTTCTTTCCTGTACTTTGAGTGGAACCTTCGTCCTTCAAGGACTCAACCTGAATGTGTTCCCTGTGCCAGACTGGGATTTGATCTTACCCTGTCTGCAAGCTACCATGGCATGGATGCTGGCAAAGCATAAGAGATCCCTGCGTCAGAGACTGGAGATTACCACTCACAGCAAGCTTGCCAGGGAGCCTCAGTCTGTCTGACCAGGCCCCTCGGCCCCTAAGTCACAGGGGGGTGACATGAAGAAGCCCAAATAGATGCATCCAGTGGGTCTGTGTTGCAACTGAAGCAGCTACAGGATCCATCTCTCTTCAGTATATAGCAAGCAAGTCTATCCTTTGTCCCGGGACAACAGACTACACCTTGACTCTAAAGCTACTCACTATGAACACAATTCTGGGAGAAAGAAAAAAAAACATATAGTAGATATAGACATATAGCCTGGGTTTTATCTGTAACCATAACAAAATACCTAATGCTAGGGGTTTTATACAGAAAAGAGGTTTATTTACTTCATAGCTCTGGGCACAGGGCCAGCTTCAGCCCAGCTCTGGTAAAGGACTCACAGCAGATCTCGTGGCAGGCCAGCAAAACCTGAGAGCACTCAGAAAGAACAAAGAGAACTCGTAACCACGCGGGAAGCCTGAGAAGGGCGAGGGCCAGGCTCACCCGTGGTCTGACAACACTGCTGTGGGCGCCTGCGTGGGGCCCCAAGAGTGCTCAGTGCCTTCCAAGGGGCACTCTGTCTAGTGGCTAGATGCCGCTTTTCACAGGCCGCGCTCCTCTGAGCCTCGCCATACACACACGCACACGCACACCTATATTCCGTGATGAAAGTGGCTAGTTCAGCTGGCAACTCTAACAACCGTGGAAGAGCGTTCCTTCAAGGCAGCTGTCACCCTCTGGAAAACAGGGCCAGTGTTTTATATGGATTTCCCACTTCGTGACACAAAATACACAAAACACTCATGGCCAAGACTTAATAACGTGCGTCACGTTCCTGCTTTGGCAAGGACGTTCTGAAGTGAAGTGACTCCCTGGAAACTGGGGCCGCAAAGCAGTACTGCTGGCACCTGGGGGGCCACCACCCAGCTCCGAGGCTGGCGCCAGCAGGCTGGGAAATGTCAGCCCAGTGGGGAGCGCAAGCTTCCACAGGCCCACGGGCGAGGGCACAAACCCCGAGAACCACGGAGCCCGAGGGAGAACGGCTCCCGCGCTGGGCACCGGGGCCTCTGTGGACCCGCCCAGGCCCTGGAACTGCTAGAGCAAGCCGTGTGTGGAGTCCAGGGCCTGAGGGCTCTGTGGATTCAGAGTCCAGAGAGGGCCACAGGGCGGGAAGCCTGCCAGGGAGACAATGGAGCAGAGGAGGGCCCCGCCACGATCTCCCCAGGCACCAGCTCTGGGAGCTCTGGGAGGTGGCCAGCTCTGGGATCTGCCAGGAAAAACAGAACTCCAAGTTTTCTAAGACACTTTCCAAGGTTTGAAAGTTTGCAGCTAATTCTTTTTTAAAAAAGAAAAAAAGCCAAATCTATGGAAGCTAAACAAAGTGTCAGAGACCACCTGCAATCACTGGTCTTCAGTGAGAACTGCGATGACCCTCCGAGAACCTTGAGAAGATACTGCAGCCACAGCCTTCCTCTCCTGAGGGCTTGCCAGGTGCTGGGGGCAGCAGACAACAGCTTTGTAGTCTCACTCGGTAGTCTCACCAGGCAGGAGCTGTTATTGCCCCTACTGCACAGAGGAGAAATGGAGACTCGTGTGGATAAATAACCAGCCTAGGGCCACGTGACTGTGCACACACACACACACACACACACACTCTCTCTCTCTCTCTCCTCCAGCCTCCTGGATCACTTGCTGTACCTTCAGGGAGCACAGTTCTGCCACAGGGCCTTTGCACATGCAGGACTCAGGAGAGCCTTGGAATGCACCTGACAATTTGCTGTAACTTGGTGTAGGAAGATAATAAGCAGGGAACCGCTGCCTGTGTGGGAAGAGCTTGTCAATTACAGGAGGGGGAAGCCCCAGGCTGGAGCCTCCTCCTGGGTTTCCCAAGAGGGCACAGGTGGCAAAGCTCGTGAGGTTACTGCTTGCACAACAGCATGAGCTCTGAGGCACATGGGCAGACAGCTGTCCAGTACTTGACCCACGAGTAATGGACTGCCAGGAGAATGTCCATTGGTCTGGAGTTCCACAGGGGCTATGGATGGGCTGCTTCGTCCAAGAAAAGCATCACAGGCAAGCGGCCTGCGTGCTCCCCATGGAGCCATCCCTGGGCGCTGGCCTGGCCAGCAGAGTGCCAGGCGGTGTCAGAGCGTCGGAGCACAGGACACAGAAACCGCCCGAGTGCTGGTGAGCATCATGGTGCACGGCCGAGAACCGTGGACTGTGCACTGCACATCAGGCGCCTCCCTCCAGGCTGCTCAGACTCTAAATGTAAAACCTGACTCAGAAAAGCGCTGA